TGATGTATTGTCAACAAAGTTGATTCACATCTCGTCTCAGAAACATGGAAAATTCTCTTTTAAAGGTATTAACTTGAATTCTGAAATGCGGGGAAAAGGGCATAAAGTATGTGTTTGACTTACTGAACTTTTGTCTTATTTGAGAAATAGTGGTTTGAAAGCTCCTTCCCAGGAACATGCACACAGAATTTCCATGTGTATCATTAGCAATTGGGGAACATAATTCAGAGTCCAAGTTTAATCCCTCATTGATCTTAATTCTACTTTAAATATTAATACAAACGTGTACAATGAAGGCGTTCAGAAGGAAGCTCTGCCATCTTAATCACACAACATAGTTCATACATCTGGATTAAGTTTTTAAATGCTTCAAAATATCCTTCAGTCCTTTGGACCTTGGATATAGCACTGCTGCAGAATAGGGTGGCAAATGTATTTGTAGAGCGATCAGCAGCCTCCCAGAAAAACCTCCCATGAGAAGGCTGGAGGGCAATGCCTTAGAAGGCAGGTAGGGTGGATTTGTTGCGTTTGCATATGTTGGCAGGTTAAAGGTGAGGAGGAAGGCAGGTTTGAGTCAGTGTGGCAGTGCATCTCTGTCCATTAGTTATTCATTCAAATTCAACCACATGAAATACAGGCAGCTAACAAACAATATATTGGAAAGGCCTTTTATTCCAGCAACTGAAATTCAGCACATTTATAGGTGTGCAGCTGGGCATGCTTAGCATGAATGGCAAACTAATGTAAATCCTGTATTAAATATTTTGTTTCATAGCAGATCTCACATTCCTATATATATATATGTATGTATATGAGAGAGGTTTGTGCAGGTCTCTGGTAGCACAAAGTCCTGTGGCATACTGTTAGAAATACACAGATGATACAAATATAAAGAATGACTCACAAAGAATACTTTTAAAAATGCTCCCGCCATTCATATAAAATCAAATCCATATCAGTTGGAAAGCCATTGAAAGGCTTTGAAAGATGTTACAAGGCTTTAGAAATGGTCCGTGCTGAACTTGGAATATTTTTTCCAGTGCTTATAAATCATTGTTTTCCTATGTTTGGTAAGATTAGCTACAGAGAATTTATGTTAAGACTCTGTGGAATGGAGTACAGAATTTCAGATAATATTAAACTGAAATGGTGGTTTTAAAATGTTTCTGTGTTACAAAAGCCTTGTATCAAGGAGGCAAACACACCACTCCCTCAGTCTCTTTTCTCGTTTCTGAAATAAGTAAACATAAACGATAAATTCTAATTTTCAGCAAGTATGTTAGTCAATCCAAACTGACCTTGACCTTAGCTTTGACAATTTCCAAACTCTGATATTTATTCCAGGAGTGGATTGTTTCCCTTCATACCACATACATAAATACTGCAAACCTTTCCAATGACTTGAATTAGAGTGTAAGTAAATAGCTGGTTTTAATCTACATAATATTTTGAGAACAGACATTCTGTGCTATGACTACTCAGATATACCCAGCAGCCATTTGTATAATACTAAAACCTCTTACATAGAGTATTAAAAGTAATGATATCAGCCAGGGCTCGTTTCACACCACAGAAACTTAACTAATAAAATACAGCATGGATAAAATCTGTGATAATAGTAACTTAAGCAAAATTAATTCAAGTAACATAAACATCTGGGGGAAAATCTAATGGCATATTGGTAAGTTATGCAAAGCTAATTTTATAGTAACAGCCACATCTGTGGAACTCGTTTATTAGAATGCTTTACCAATCTTCTTCCCTGACATTATTCTGTTTTAAAAATTTTCCTGTATACTATTTTATTGTCTTTGCTCTGCCTACATTTGTAAAAAGGTGATTTGCTAGTTCTTAACAAGAAAGCTATGTGGGCTTACATACAGAACAACGTGACACTTTTGATACTTGCCTCTCTTTATGCAAGCTTTTACTAGAAAGAATGCCAAAGTAAATAGTGGTGTGGGGCTATACATTTGGACTGGGGTGGGAAAGTAAAGGTGACACTGAACAATATTTCCTACATTAAGTTCTTCTGAATGTTAGAGCAGCCTCTAGCCTGCTCTAACTTGTCCAGATTCAAGTGGCCTTTTGGAGCCCCACCACACCTAGAAATTAGTAAGACTATTGCTTTAGACTATATAAGGCTATTAACTTCTGCTTCCTCCAGTCTCTTTAAGAGCATCCTTTTATCTGCAGCTGACACTAATATGCCATCTACATTTATGCAACTGCCTTATGATTTCTTTATGTTTGAATTCTCATGCATCCATTGGGCCGCAATGTGCAGGAAAATATTCCCAGTAATTTTAAGGCATTATCATCTTGCCAAACTGTTTCTCACATTTCTATAGTTATATTGATTCAAGAGGACACTTTCAGTAATACATCTTTGTCATAGTGAATAATGCTCACATAATGACAAATCTTCAGGAATTAAAAAAAAGGAGGATGAATTTTTTAATGTGGGTCAGTGGAATTAATTCACCATAAATATACTCAGACTTCAGAAACTAACAATGTGTTTTTTAAAGCCACTGTAACTGTATAAAACTTACTGTGTCTCCTTCTCTGTTTTTAAATAGATTTTACGACAGAGCCATTGGCGCTATTAAACATGAGGTTTTGTTCAAAGGAAATACAAAGACTTAATTGTGTTTTTTTGGGGGGGGGGGGTTGGTTGGTTGGTTGGTTGGTTTTTTGTTGGTTTTTTTTTAAGGAAAGTATTGCATCAGAAGGATTCATTTAAATACGTTCGTTGGCTTCGGGCTCTCACCACAATTCATTCGTTCTAATTTTCCCCTGGACTAGTTAAGGACACAATGTATACGAAGGAGCAATGCAGAATGGCATTTTTAGGTCACTATATTTTGGCTGTAAACTGTAGTACTGCTCATAAATTTATTATTACTAAACAAAATACTTCATATTCAACATTGAAGTTTCACAGTCTTTTAAAAAAAAAATTGGCTGAATGCTGAGACTATTATGGCTCATTAAAGAGACTAGTTCTGCTATAATTTAGTTATTTCTTCAAGATCCAAGGGTTATTATTAGACATGGAACAGATGAGTAAAGAATGGCTCTTTTTAAAAGGATGCAGTGAAGTAAAATATTATTCTGAAAGAGGACCTCTGAAAATCTTATCCATGCTACAAAACTGTATTTCATCAGCCAGAAAATGATTTAAAAGCCCAGTCTAGTTTTTTTACATTATTTAATTTTTTTTGAAATTTGAGCTGGAGGGAATAAATGGAACAATGATTTAATCTAAATTAATAAATTATTTTGAGTAAATAGTTAACTAACTAACCAAAAATATGTTATTTTAAGGAAGCAGAAAGTAATAGTAAATTCTCATCCAATTCAGTGAATATTTTTAATAAGGAAATATAAGGTAAGAAATCAGAGAAAACTGAAATATTTGCTAAATCAAAAGAGCTCTAGGGTTTTGGATTTGGGTTGTGTTTTTTTTTTAGGAATTTGACATTAAAGTTTCTTTTTATTTTAGAAATAACATTTAGCTCAACTCAAGGTTTTTTCATTTTGATGCGCAAACTATACTTTCCAACTATACCTTTTGTGAGTCTGTAGGCACTTAGCACAGTGCTGTAGAATTTGAGTCATTAGTGATACAGAAAAATGTTTCTATAAAATCTGATTTTCTTCTTACTTAAATTCAGGAAATCTTCCTGTCAGGCTCTTGAGTTCTTATAAACATGAGTTAATACCGTCTACTTTTTTTAGTGAGCTCACACATGACAGGAAATCTTGAAGATAAAGACAAAGTCCAAACATAACTTCTGAACAATTTCCAGAACTACAAAAGAGATTTTTAATGTGATAAAGTATAATGGCTAGGTCTCACTTTTTATTTTCAGGTTTTGTCATGACTTTTGCAAACGTACAGACCCTTGAATATTTTCGGCATGTCTAACTGTAGCAAGTAACTAAACAAACCAAATATCAACCTAGCTATGATTTCAAAGGTATGAGGAAATTAATTCATGGGAGCTGCAATTACCCTGATGTGAATTAATGTAGTTACATGTTTGTAATAGCTGACTCAGAACTGGAACATCTGCCTGGTATTCTCGGTGGGCGCTTCCCACTGCAGAGGCCCTAGATAAACCATTTTAGTATTATATGCTGTTCCTTGCTTGTTCAAAAAATTTGTCCCCCTGTTCTCTCTCATCAATTAAAAACAAAAACCAAAATACAACCCACAAAAACCACACATGCAAAAAAAAAAGACACAAACCCTTGTCCCTTCAGAGGATGCAGGGCCACCTTCTGCATCATTCATAAGAGCCCAAGCACAGAGTAAGTACTGCATCCAGCTACTTCAGAGGGGGAAAGCTGTTTTCCTGTCAGAGCATTCCTGGAGCCACAGTTCACATGGCAGGAGAATACCAGTGAGGTTCCCATGAGTACAGAAAAGAGAAGTGGGAGCAAGCATGATGAAGCAGCAAAACTTGTACCATTGGCAACTCTTAATTAAATTATAGCCACATATTTCTTAGGACCTTATTTGATGCAGGGTGATTACAACTTTACTCCAGCTGATTCATTTGATAGAGTACCCTAGTGGTCACCTGAGTCCTTTACTTCCAAAATGCAACCAGATCCCTGTTCAGAAGTGACATATTTTTAATGGGAAGACTGCATGTTATGTAGGCACTGTCTTTTCTAAACTTAATTATCCACATGAGTAAGATGCTGTAGTGTTATGAAATTATCAAAACCATCAGTTCTTGCCAAGTATTATAAAGAGGGCCCCTTGAGATGGAGCTAGAAATTAAAGCTGATCTATAATCATTTTCAGTATGTTTTCCAGTTCCGAGCACCTGGATAGTAGCAAAAAAGGTATTGTTTTTTTGTTGTTTGCAGCCATTTCATTTCCACTTAGAAAAGTCTGCAATAAACCTCTGAGCAATAATTGTTTTTGAATTACTTTTTTTTTTCTTGCTCTTTTTTTTTTTTTTTTTTTTTTATATTGCCAGTCTGCAATTGAACTTGCTGAACCTGCAGATCCTCCCTTCCCTGCTCTGCTGGAAGAAGGCATACCTTCGGGTATCTATTCATCATTCATAACATCACTAACAGCTGCAGAGACAGGATCTAAGGTAGAGTTTTGTTCTTTGGTTTTGGGTTTTTTTTTTTAAGATAGTTTTCAAAGAGTCTCCTACCTCATTTATTTCTCATTGGAGCCCAGGCACTAATGACATCTGCTCTCAAGAACATAGCATACATTCTCTCCTAAGATTGAATGAAATTACTTTTAATGCAATAATCGGTTAGCAGAGAACATTTATTTGAGTCAGCACCTCTGAGGTCTCAAGCCATGCAACTTCATAACCTCAGGATCTGCCTGGCCTGGGCAGTGAGAGAGAGGGACACTGATGGTCTCTGTCAGAGCAGGAGTTCTCAAAAGAAGGCATCATGTCTTGTTGCATGTCTTCAGGCTTGACACTGTTTGGTCTTGTAGACAGCAGGATAATGTTATAACTCACACATTTCTTGTGGCTGATTGCTGCTAGGGTTCTGATCAAGGGGAACAGCCCTGTCCAGAGGCAGATTCCTTTGAGGTAGATTCTGTGGCTGCTGTCACTGCCGAAGATCAGAAGTCCGCAGAGTACGAAATCGCAAATGAAATTATTGGCAACCTTGAGGTACTAATATTAGAAAGCTATTCAGTGATTTTGTCTATGGTTAATTAGATATCTCAGCCTTAATGAATATAAACTGTATTCATGATAAAGCTGGCAAAAGGCACATCCATATGCTGTAAAAATGTGAATTAGCCTCTATAAATAACTCCTAGTTTAGTCAGCTTACATGTGATAAGATAAAAATATTCAGTAATATAACAACATATATCTTCAGCATTACTATGTGTTAAGAAACACGGGCCAAATCCTGCACTCAGTGATGTCAGTGATAAAATTCCTCTTCAGTGGTTCAGGATCAGCTGCTGTGATGGAGCATATGCAATGCAATGGAGCAGTGTGTGCTTAATATAAATTGTTAGATGCATCTATGTTACACATCCTTCAATATGCGTAAGAACACATTCATGCCAGTTCTAGACTTGATTTGGTAGGTATGTAACTATACAAGAGCTGCCTTAATGGAACACATCAGGTGGCCCTGGTCTGCAAACCCTGAGGAGTCCGAGTTCTTTCTGCGGGGTTCATGAAACAGAAAGAAGCTACTGTCAGTGAATGGACTTACATTTGTTGTAGGGTGACCTGCTTCTCTATGGGGAGGTCTGTAAATTGAAACATGTGGAAACCCAGCAGAGTAAATCATTGTTATTTTGTAAACTACTCCCTCAAGTGTATGAAATTATTGAAAGCAAACCAGCTAGAACTCAGTTCCACCAAGGAACTGGTGGAATTTGGTCTTACTTGCAACAAACAGGTGGCATTAACACTTTAAACTTTAGCTACAGTGCATTGGGCACTGTTGACAAAGCAGTTTATTAAATTATGAAATAATATAATTATCATTAATATAAAGTTATTAAATTATGATTTCCCGAGGTGGGTATCCCCGTAGGGCAGTCTTCAACACCGGAGCGAGGGGAAACCCCGCATATCGGAGCCTCAGCTCTGAGCAGCGAGAGCCACCGAGGGAGCCTCAAGCCCCCGCCGGGCCTTGCCCAGGAGCCGACAGCTCAGCTGACGCAAGCAGGGACCCACAGGGGGCGGTGCCAGGAGGGACGGCACCAGCCCTGAGCGGGTAGAACCCGCCCCAGCGAGCGCGGGAACAGGGCGTGGTGCGGCAGTTGGTGCCGACAGCGAGGCAGGCAGAGAGCGGGATGGGGAGCGGGATGGGGAGCGCTCGCCTCCAGGCCAGGGGCGCTCTGGGGGCTTTGCTCTGGCTGCCCCGGCGGTGGCAGCGTCAGAACCAGACAGAGCCGGTGAGAGGGAAGGCTGCAGCACAGAGCTTGGAGTGCAGAGAGTGCCTGCATTGGTCTGGTGAGGGGAGGATGCACAGTGGGCAGGGGAAATCCTGCCTGACCAATTTGGTGGTCTTCTATGGTGGTGCAACGGAACTGATGGACAGCGGTAAAGCAGTTGATGGACTTCTGCAAAGTGTTCGACACTGTCCCACACAACATCCTTGTCTCTAAATTGGAGAGACATCAATTTGATGAATGGACCACTCGGTGGATAAAGAACTGGCTGGATGGCTGCACACAAAGAGTTGTGGTCAATGGCTCAATGTCCGGCTGGAGACCAGTAACAAGTGGTGTCCCTCAGGGATCAGTGTTGAGACCAGTCTTGTTCAACATCTTCGTCGCTGACATGGACAGTGGGATTGAGTGCGCCCTCAGCAAGTTTGCTGACGACACCAAGCTGTGTGGTTCGGTTGATACGCTGGAGGGAAGGTATGCCATCTAGAGGGACCCTGACACGCTTGTGAGGTGGGCTGATGCCAACCTCATGAAGTTTAACCATGACAAGTGCAAGGTCCTACACCTGGGCCAGAGCAATTCCAAGCACAGCTACAGGCTGGGCAGAGAAGAGATTCAGAGCAGCCCTGCAGAGAAGGACTTGGGGGTGCTGGTCGATGAGAAAATGAACGTGAGCCGTCTTCAGTGTGCACTTGCAGCCCAGAAAGCCAACCGTATCCTGGGCTGCATCAAAAGGAGCGTGACCAGCAGGTCAAAGGAGGATGTAGGAAAGCTGCTAGGATGGCTAAGGCCTCCTTGGAATTAAAGCTGGCGAGAGGGGTCAAGGACAGCAGAAAGAGCTTTTTCAAATACATGGCAGGTAAAACTAACACCAGAGGCAATGTAGGCCCGCTGATGAACGGGACGGGTGCCCTGGTGACAGAAGATACAGAGATGGCAGAGTTACTGAATGACTTCTTTGTCTCTGTCTACTCTGCCGGAGGCAGTCCTGAAGAGCCCTGTACCGCTGAGACCTCGGATGAAGATAGGTCAACGGAGCGGTCTGCCTTAGTCGATGAGGAATGGGTTAAAGACCAGTTGAGCAATCTGGACATCCATAAATCCATGGGTCCAGATGGGATGCACCCGCGGGTGCTGAGGGAACTGGCTGAGGTCATTGCTAGACCACTCTCCATCATCTTTACCAAGTCTTGGGAAACGGGAGAGGTGCCTGAGGACTGGAGGAAAGCAAATGTCACTCCTGTCTTCAAAAAGGGCAAGAAGGAGGACCCGGGTAACTATAGACCGGTTAGCCTCACCTCCGTTCCTGGGAAAGTGATGGAACACCTTGTCCTTGGTGCCATCTTAAGGCATATCAAGGATAAGAGGGTTATGAGGGGCAGTCAACATGGCTTCACCAAGGGGAAGTCATGCTTGACCAATCTCATAGCCTTTTATGAGGAAATAACACGGTGGATGGATGATGGTAGAGCGGTTGATGTGGTCTATCTTGACTTCAGCAAAGCGTTTGACACGGTCTCCCACAGCATCCTTGCGGCTAAATTGAGGAAGTGTGGTCTGGATGATAGGGTAGTGAGGTGGACTGTGAACTGGCTGAAGGAGAGAAGCCAGAGAGTTGTAGTCTATGGGGCGGAGTCTAGTTGGAGGCCTGTATCTAGTGGAGTGCCTCAAGGGTCGGTACTGGGACCAGTATTATTTAATATATTCATCAACGATTTAGATGAGGGAATTGAGTGTACTATCAGCAAGTTTGCTGATGACACTAAGCTGGGAGGGGTGGCCGACACACCAGAAGGCTGTGCTGCCATCCAGAGAGACCTGGACAGGCTGGAGAGTTGGGCGGGGAATAACTTGATGAAATATAACAAGGGAAAGTGTAGAGTCCTGCATCTGGGCAGGAACAACCCCAGGTTCCGGTATAGGCTGGGGAACGACCTGTTAGAGAGCAGTGTAGGGGAGAGGGACCTGGGGGTCCTGGTGGACGACAGGGTGACCATGAGCCGACACTGTGCCCTTGTGGCCAAGAAGGCCAATGGCATCCTGGGGTGTATTAGAAGGGGGGTGGTTAGTAGGTCGAGAGAGGTCCTCCTTCCCCTCTACTCTGCCCTGGTGAGACCTCATCTGGAATATTGTGTCCAGTTCTGGGCCCCTCAGTTTAAAAAGGACAGGGACCTGCTGGAGAGAGTCCAGCGCAGGGCAACTAAGATGATTAAGGGAGTGGAGCATCTCCCTTATGAGGAAAGACTGAGGGAGCTGGGTCTCTATAGTTTGGAGAAGAGGAGATTGAGGGGTGACCTTATTAGTGTATATAAATATATAAAGGGGGAGTGTCACGAGGATGGAGCCAGGCTCTTCTCAGTGGCAAACAATGAAAGGACAAGGGGTAATGGATACAAATTGGAGCACAAGAGGTTCCACTTAAACCTGAGAAGAAACTTCTTCTCAGTGAGGGTGACGGAACACTGGAACAGGCTGCCCAGGGAGGTTGTGGAATCTCCTTCTTTGGAGACATTCAAAGCCCGCCTGGACACGTTCCTGTGTAACCTTATCTAGGTGTTCCTGCTCCGGCAGGGGGATTGGACTAGATGATCTTTTGAGGTCCCATCCAATCTCTAACATACTGTGATACTGTGATACTGTGATCCTGCCCCTCTACTCTGCTCTCATGAGACCTCACCTGGAGTATTGTGTGCAGTTCTGGCATCCTCAACATAAAAAGGACATGGAACTGTTGGAACAAGTCCAGAGGAGGGCCACGAGGATGATCAGGGGACTAGAGCACCTCCCATATGAAGACAGGCTGAGAAAGTTGGGGCTGTTCAGCCTGGAGAAGAGAAGGCTGCATGGAGACCTCATAGCAGCCTTCCAGTATCTGAAGGGGGCCTACAGGGATGCTGGGGAGGGACTCTTCATTAGGGACTGTAGTAATAGGACAGGGCACAATGGATTGAAACTTAAACAGGGGAAGTTTAGATTGGATATATAAGGAAGAAATTCTTTCCTGTTAGGGTGGTGAGGCAATGGAATGGGTTGCCCAGGGAGGTTGTGAATGCTCCATCCCTGGCAGTGTTCAAGGCCAGGTTGGACAAAGTCTTGGGTGACATAGTTTAATGTGAGGTGTCCCTGCCTACGGCAGGGGGGTTGGAACTAGATGATCTTAACGTCTTTTCCAACCCAAACCATTCCCTGATTCTAAATATCTAATATTACCTGAAAATAGTGTGATATTAATAAATTGTTTTACATAGGTTGTGTATAATTGGGGAATATAAATTAGAATAATGATGTTGTCATTTGATCTACCTATTTGATTTTATTTTTTTTTTATTTTAGTTTTTGTAAGTCTTCCACCAATCTGTCTTTCACCTGATTTCTCAGTTTATTCACCTTTGAGGTAGTCTTATAAGTAGATTTTTACCTGATACATGGTCAGACTCACCATTTTGCTGTTACAAGTGAACTGTGATTTCACAATCTGCATTATTTCTCCGGGGAGCACAAGGCAGCTGTTGCTCTAGTTGAGTATAGAAAATAACTTTTAGTCTGATGCCACAGTGCTGACAGTAATCACAACAGCAACCATAGTGAAGCACGGTGGCAGCTGATTTTCACTAAAGGCAGAATCTGAGACAGAGAGATGTAAAAACTGGAGAAGAAAGTCAGCTGGATTGGCTGGGAGAGAATTGGCATGGAGGGTTAGTGTTCCACAGCAAAGCAACGAAATATGCATGTAATGTGAAGGGATAGGGACATATTTATTGATACTTGAGGGTGGATTGAATATGGTGAAGGCCGTCCCCAAAGATAAAAAGTTGAGGCATAAATTCCAGCTTTTTGATGCTAATCTGAGCTATTGAGAACTTTGAAAACATTTTAGCTGTCATTGTGTGTTGATGGGTTGCAGCATAGCACTAGTAGGGATTTCTAGGACCAGCAAGCCAAAAAGTTCCTAAAATGGCAAGTTACTGCATGCTTTTCTAGGCCAAATCAGTTAACTTTATCAAAATTACATGAAGCCCACTAAGAATGTAACTCTGAATTTTGGAACAGTTTATGCAGAGTCTGTAAAGGACCTGTGAGCCTGTTCCAGTTGTTTAAATGAAACTTTGTGACTCTTGGGAAAATTGTCATAGTAGTCCTTCCATTTATCATATATTTTTGCATTGATGAATTCTGATATTGAGAAATACACATAAATTCCCCATAAAGCTCCAGTATTTGTGGCCTTTTTCCCAGTGGTCCCACATTTCCAAATTCTGTAAAATAAAGATTGCTACGCATTATCACTGCCAAAGATTTCACTAAAAAATGTCACAACCCTCATACCTTCCCCACAAATGTTGCACTGTAAATTAAGCACTCGATTTCTACAAGAGTCTGGAGTTCCAGAATCAGATGCACGTTCACAATTGTGTTTGTAATTAAGACAGACAAGCAACATCACAGAAATATGGTTTTTTTATTGTTCATTTTCAGTAATGTTTTCTAATTCCAGCAATGTTTCAATAAAACGTATTACACTAGAAAACAAACATCTGCAGCAAAGGAAAACAGTGGCAACAACCAAATCCCAAAGCAATTTTTCTGATTTGGTTTTTGTTGGTAAAGGCTGTTCGAAAATACAGGCAAATTAGCCTATCTCCCAAAACAAGATTACATGAGAAATGGCTGTTCCAGATCACTTCCTGTTCATGGCAGTCATACCATGCATCAGAGTTGTGCACAGTAATGTGATAAAGTGTTATCACGTAAGTACAGGCTGAAACACCGTTACGTCTGCAAAACAGGAAGGTGTGTAGGATAATGTCTGTCTTATTGCACTACAGTGTGTCAAAACCACAAAGACAATGTGCAGCCTAAGATAGCTCCATCATAACCAGTTTTTTTCTTCTGATTTTCTTTACAGGCAGACATAAATGAAAAGCCGCAAATGCAAGAAGCAGCTTATACTTCAGAAAAACTAAAAAGTCCTGAATAGCCAGATAAGAAAGGTGATGTTGAGTTTCACAGAATTGGACAGTAGGGGATGGCATGCAGAGGAGACTGGCCCCCTGCTGGAATGTAATTATTTTTGTATAAAGGAAAATGACTCTGTTAACATTTACCTAGAAATAGTTCATCCCAGTTCCTCAGATTTACTGTGTTCTGCCAGTGGTGTTGTTTAATTTAGAATTAAGTAGAAGATTATAAACAGAAGGATGCATAATTAAAACATGTTGAAGTTCAGTTTATATCTGAAAAGAAATCCAAATTTAAAAGGAAAAAAGAAATACTGTCGTTTTGTTCTCTTTCCTTTTTCCAGCTGTGAAATATAACTGTTTCTGCTTTACACCTATGTTTTTCATGAAACCTTGCTAGAATAAGAATACATAGGGAGAAAATCTCATTTTGAGGCACTGCAGTTATGAGTTAATTTAGTTAACATATAATTACACTTTTTACTGTAGTTATTCATTAATAATATGTATGTTATTTAATTTTAAATTGCTTCCTAAGCTTTAAAACTAATTTAATATCTTACACGTCTTGTATTTCCACTATATTAAAATTGCATAAATGAAGAGTTTGCACTTTTACAGTATTCCCAAGCAGAGCTCCTTTAGATTTCAGTGGAAAATTTTCTGGAATGCATGTAAGCTTTCATCTGAGAATGCTTCTATGTTTTGTCAGACATTATAGAAATGTTTCAAACTCAGAAGGAATCCAATCAAATAAATTACCTCAGAAGAACTGGTTTAACAATTATGTTTCAAAATTGTAAGTTTGTATTAACTGTTGTGTCACAGATCTCTGTGCCCTAGAAAGCATGTTAAATACGAGTCATGCTTTCAAGCATAAAGGCTGGATTGGATTACATGTTTAGTGGAATATTTGAGAAATGGGGTGTTTTATTCATTACTATTTCATATTTGTTTCTCACTAAGTAAAACAAGTTAGTTTTTTGTTTCGTTTCATCCCCATTTTTTTATGGTGATAATGAAAAAGTTTGCAAGCCTCACTCAGCCCAGCCAAAACAGAAAATAGCTTGAAACAATTTTCCTAAAAGGTCTTTTTTTGGCATTGCCTGACTTTCAGGGGCTGCTGCAGGGAAGGGGCACTGCCTCCACGCTCATCAGTGGGGAGCAGTCTGCAGCTGAAGGCAAATTCCAGTAGCTGTTTCTGGGTGCCAGTAGCCTGGGTGTGCTCGTTAGAACGCAGATCACATTGGGCACAGAGCTCTTCTAAAGCAATGGTTTGACATTTTAAGTGGGCAGAGTATTTTACTTGGTCTCATGTGTTGAGAAAAATTCTTCCCCTAGTACGTGGTTGGGAGAAGTAAAGTTCTGTAATGGTTCGCTTCCAAGTTTTCTTGATTGCTCTTTCCAGCACTGGCCAGCAAATCAGTGACAGCTTCCTTTCAGCTAGTAAAAGCTAACTGTTCTGCTTTGAACACTGAAGGAATTAATGCAGAATTATTAGTTTTACCTTTAAAACAGGGTTTTTTTAATATTACATTTTTAAATTTGTTAAGACTGCTGGTTATATTCTTTGTTGTTTTATTGTTTTGAAATATGGGTTGGGTTTTTTTGCTATCAAAACTTTCTCAAATCAGAATACCCTTTTTGATACATAAAATCAGCTCACAGCACATTATGCTAATGTCACAAGTTTCCCTGGTTTTGAACTCAAAGGTGAGAACAGAGTTTCTGAAGAGAGCTGTCCGTATGGGAAAAAGAAAAAAGAGTATTTAAAATACTTTTTAAGGAAAATGTGTTACTGGCAACTCAGCATTGTTTATCACTGCAGACTTTAATCTGAAGACTACATTCCTGCTGTAGCGTGAAGCAGAAAGGGACTAACTGTGATTTATGATAAGGCCAATGCTAAACAAAGGCTTTGCCCATATCTTTTCCTCCCTCTCCCAGATTTTGTAGAACCTCTGGGAAATTTTAAAGTGCTTTGAAGATGAGAAATTGTATATGAACATCAAGTATTGCTGCAATGATTTCTTAGCATTCAGTCTTAGTACATATGCATAACAGCTGAGGTATTGCAGAAATCCAAAGTGAAGTTCAAATCCCACAAACTGTATTTGTAACTATCTTCCTGCTGAACTAAATAATGCTACCAATAAAAGATAGCCCTAGGGATTTTTTGGGGAGTGAGAGGGGAGGATAGTCAGGAAGCTGCGGAGGGAAAATGAGTAAAAGGTAGACATAATATCTCTCTGAGAAGTCAGAGTGCATGTTCTGACACAGCATATGAACATCAAATTGAAGAATCCTTTAATGTCTTCAGAATGTTAATATGAAATGCAAAACGTCATTCTTTGGATAGATGGGTAGGAACAAAATGTTCAGATGCAATATGGTGCATTAAGAACAGTCTCCATTCTGCATTCCTGGCTTTTCCATTGGTTTAAATCAGGCTTGCTGTTTCTCAAGTCTCTCGCGTCATGTTGAGTTACTGCTATAGTCATCTCTAAAAATAATTATACTGTCATTCCTGGGACCTGTAGTTGAGGCTTTGGTATGCCAATCTTTGATTTCTATTTTTTTCTTTCTTCCTTTCATTTTTTCCCCAATGCTGTTGCTGTAACAATTTTTTTACAACACACATATTTAACGTAGTTCCTAACGTGTTCCCACCCTACAGAGCTTTCAATTCAAATCAGATCTTGTGCAAAGGAAGGATAGAGGTGTTATGATCTACCTTGTCTGCCAGAGAAGTGTTGGTTTATCCAGGGGACAGAGGACATATTTTTTTTCCTGTGTAAGGTATAATATTATAATATTGATGCTTTTTGGCATCTTCATGGTAAAATCCTAGTCTTCACTGGGATTTCATAATGAGACAATGAACAACTAGTAATTATCCTCTAGCAAAAGAAAAGCTCTATTTTCAGGCAGTGCTTTCCTGCATTATACTGACAGCATGATGGAAGTTTAGAAGAGATAGAAAGCATTTTTTCTAGTGAGAAGCTGGCTTTAAAAGAGATGGGAAAGGAGACAAAAAGAGAAAACAGTTTTTTACCTGTTTCATAGTGTTTTGCCATGACCTTTTCTTCTCAAGACTTGCTTTTCCTCTTCTGTGCCAAAACTTGATTTGAATTTGAAAATTACCACATTGTTTCCTTCCTAAAATTGTAACTGGCATTCCTAGAAAATTTGCTTTCCCAGAAAAGCCACTCTGCGTAGGCTTCAAATTCAGCTTTTCACAAGTGAGAAAAATACATTTTCTTCCATAACCTACACTGCCAACCTGACCACAAAATGTGGCAAAGTCAGCATTGTGCCCTTTAAATCAGATATTTAACTGCACGCTGCAGCTGACCACCAAAACACATTCATCCAGATATACACATCATAGAATCATAGAAAGATTTGGGTTGGAAGGGACCTTAATGATCATCTAGTTCCAAACCCCCTGTCATAGGCAGGAACATCTTCCATTAGACCAGGTTGTTCAAAGCCCCGTCCAATCTGGCCTAGAACACTTCTAAGGATAGGATGGGGCAGCCACAGTTTCTCTGGGCAAGCTGTGCCAGCACCTCACCACCCTCACAGTGAAATTTTCTTTTTTAGTATCTAAATCTCCCTTAAAATCCTCCAGAGCATAGGTTTGATCCTGTGCTAACCTACAAGTTCATGGAAGAGATCTGCTCAGTAGAAAGGGTGCCATTGTGGGCTTTACCCTCGCATCTGCTGCTTGCACATATTGGTGGTGGACTGCGGATGTGACAGGTGAGATAGCAAGACTGGTAAACTATTCATAGCTAACATTTACAGATTTACTTGTGTGAAAGGGATGTTTGCACTGACCAGCATGGCATGGCATGGCATGGCATGCAGCAGCGAGATACACTGCAGGTAACTGAACAATTAGCCCCCTCTTTTTCCTCTCTACCCTCCCTCATTTTACGCTGGTGTTATTCCTGCCCCTGCCACAACATGCAACTACATAGTTCTTCTGTAGGCTGCAGTCTAGGCAAAAGGTGTATTCAAGGTGTTATCACCTCCACTTCTCTGCTGTGGTTCACCAGGAAGTAACAGTAATGACAAAGCACACAAGGCAGAGTTGCATGCCACGAGCGACTCAAAACTGAATGTAACATTTGAGGCCATTTTGTTGTGGCATTTTGGGTGCGCAGAACAGGCATTGGGCTCCAGCAGTTACAGGTTCAGATTACATATACGTGACAAAAGAAAAAAAAAAGGAAAAAGAAAATCAAAGGATAGTTGCAGTGACTCATGTAATTGAGAGTCCATTCAAACGTAGAGCATTAAACAGAACTCAAAATTAGTAATACTGCAAAAGAACAGAATGTAAGATATTTCCAGGGCAGAAACAACCTGATTTTTTATATAGTAGCACTTCTATAAAGCCTGTGCTGCCACTGATGCAACAAAGACTGCATTAAACATGGGATTTTGTTCATGCGGAGTTCTGCACTCACAATGTTGCCTAGGCTTGCTAGCAGTTGTATGTATTTTGAATGTTTATGCAGATGATTCAAAGAACAAAAAGGGAAAAAGTGAGTTGCTACAAGCACCCCAGCCAAGGGGAATTAGCGGGAAGTCCTGTGGCCTAGGAGGAGGAAATTGTTTAGAGGCTACAAGAAAGAATGATCCATAAAAGCTATTCACCTAAAATGGGTATGGCACTCTTCTTTTCTGGAAAAAGTTGCTGGAGCTGTATCAGTTTGTGATGCTGATATGGGTGGTGATTCATGGTGGAAGCCTCTTCAGAGTGCTCTGAAGCACCATCTAGATAAGCCAGTTCCTTCAGTGACTGCAAAGAAGGCCTCAGGATTTTGCCTTCCTCCCCTGAGTTGGTCTATGTGAATATTTTAGTTTTCATTTAGCTCTTTTTAACCCTTTCTGAAGATCAGTTGTACAACGTGTTCTTAAAATTTGAATTTTACATCTTTTAACCTCAAGACAATTTTTCTTGTCTATTCTTACGTCTATTCTTATGGTTATATTGGTTATAGCATAAGAAATATGACTGGGTAGAGCCAGTGTCCCAGGGTCTTTCCTTTAGCATTGGCGGGATGCTTAGGGAACAGTATAGGAACAGAGAACCCTAAGGGTGATTCACTGCATGAAGGCATACACTTCCACTGATCAGTGCTTTAGAAATTTGTGGGGTCAGACTGTGCACCCAGACCCAACAGTAGCTTGAAATCAACGGGCACCTTCTCCATGAATTTGTCCTATTTTGAACTCAGTTGTACTCCTGGCCAC